CTTCTGACTGTATAGCACAGGCTGTACCGTTCGAGGTATTTTGTATTTTTGATGTAATTTGTTCTGTTTTCTTAATTACAACCGTTTATATTGAGCACAGAGTTTGTGTTTTGATATAATATAATACGAGTATCTCAAAGACGCGTTGTGAGCTATACAGAGGAACTTGGTCTGGTCTAATCGAATAAATTTTGGGTTCGTCAGTCCGTTGTTCCAACCGAATATTGGCTGTTCGGTCGTTACATCTGTCAAGATTTCGTAAGGTTTGGAAACATCTCTAGTATACATACTAGGTGTTACGCACCTGTTGAATTCCCGCGGTAGTGTCTCGACTACTGCGATAAATTGTGCACGTGTGTCGTTCACGCCGTGCTCGGGGAAGGCGGCTTCTGCGTAACAGAACCAGGCTTCGATATTGTCAGGTCAGAAAAGCATCAGTTGAAACGAAGGCGTGGACAAAGTCTTTAGCTTGATTACTTTGGATGTTTGTTCAGTCATGATGAAATATGAAGTACGATAATCAACGAGGGGAAAATATATATATCCAAGAAAAAACACGAAATAAAATCACAATGTTTAAAAAAATAAAAAATAGGGCAATGATATATAAAAATCCCAAAAAGGAACAGACTCACATTTGCGATTCGGTGTACCAGATCACATCGGTCTCACCAATGAAGATGACACACGTGTTCAGTGTTTGACAACGCTTTTACTAGCAACACCTAATATAATTTGTACCCACCAAGAGAAATCAAAAGACAGAGTCGAGGAGATCGGAAGAGTGTATTTGGCGATTACCAATATATCGGAATTCTCTGACCTAATCTGTCTAGCGATTGCGGTAGGTGTTGAGCACAGCGTTCCCTCTCGTGATCTGGTGCGGATGCATGACCGAGCGCCTTCAGCTAGGTGAGTCCATTAAAGCTAATGTAGTCAACATCCCATGTCGAAAACTTACAGAGCTATTTATTTTGGGGATTTATTTACCGCTACATGACAAAGAATATATATATTGCTTTCCGACTGAAGACAACAGTCAGTCGTTCATAGAAACATAGTTTACAGTACAACAAACTTTTCTTTAGTAAAATTATACACTGACGGTCTATCTGGAAACAATCAGCTATATGATTAAACTCACTGATCTGGGATAACATCTCAGAGTGCAGTGAACGTACATTGTAACGCAGTCGGACGTGGCGAATAAAAATCAACAACAGAGCAAAATTAACTACATAATCTAGTTATTTAATTAAAAATACATTATGAAATGACAAAATCTGTGGTTGCTTGGACGCACAGATGACCCTGTGCGATACATTAAGTTTACATGGTTTCGTTGCGGATAAGTCCACCCTACGATTCAATAGACAATATATACCGAGCCACTAAAGTGGTGAGACCGTCGACATCATCCGATATAAATGACGTCCAAATAAAGGGCCCCACTAAAACCTCTCCTACCTTCTAAAAAGAAACACTGATTTTCAGCACGAGTTATCTTTCACAACTCTGAAACTGTATATCAAACAAATGAGAACAGGCAAGGACATTTTACTATATGACACACCTACATGTAGGGATCGTTCAATAGTGCCCAAATATTATCGATACAACGTCTTCAATACGTTGCACAAACATCGAGTAACGATCAGAACGATTTTATTGTCCTGGTATGAATAAAGATGTGGTGGAGTTGGCACTCTCATGTGTAAGCTGACAGAAATTCAAGGTGATTAATAACAACAAATGTTCATCTGTCACACACAAGCTAACAGGTTGGATAGAACGATTTCACTGATGGCAATGGACACATGCTACTCTCTCGGCAATCGTGAATGAGATAGGAAATACCCAGCTTGATACGGACGAGATGCATTACTCCTAATCCCAATAAAGTTGATGAAATGATTGGTCAATGACCAAACGAGGTAATAAATAGATAGAACGACATTCACATGAATTTAAGCAAGAATTTAGGAAAAGCAGGCCATATGGGGCTAATCTTCTCACAATTGGACGATCTGTTGAGACCGGAAGATACCAGTCCACGTAATATTCCTAGCCTTTGCAAAGGCTTTCGACACATTACTGCACGTACTTCTTATAGTGAAGGTCGCAAAGATGAGTTTTATTGTTGATCCTACTGTCTTTAGGCAGGATATAAATCTTTTAGACCAACTAGAGAGATGGATAACCGGAGTGTGATATAAACCTCAACTCAAGAGAATAAGAGGTGATATTACAATGGCATATAATTTAAGCAGTCTGATTCACCTCAACCCTAACACACTACCCGAAAATCTCTATCGTAATCCGTGAGGTATCTCATGAAAAATCGCACGTCAAAGACAAAAGTGCAGGTACCCTACCACCTCCTCTCGTTAGGACTTGTAACGCTTGGAAGGATCTCCAAGCGGAAGTGACCACAACCATATCATTGAGCGGCTTTGAGAAGAAACTTCGCAAGCATGTTATCTTTCTCTTGAATCAGCTGTGTCTGATGCATATCCCGCGAATTAACATGGTTATCACCACTGCATACATCCAATTACTTCCTATCTAGCTTGTTAAATTCCTTGTTCCTCGTTCGTTTTTTCGATTCGAACTTCTCATACAGTCTTCACTACTAATAAGTTGAATTTCTCCAACTGATCATTTTATTTGGGTACTCTGATTTTCAACTTATAAGTTTTCACATGGCAAACAACCAATTTTCTTCCAGGTCCTGTGATGGCTGCTGGTATCCAGATAAACTACTGTCTTGAGACAAACGCAATCACTCAGGCTACAAGATGCACAAAAAGTGCTACTTTACAGACTAGAATTAATGCCCTCGAGTTGCTTGACCACTACACATTGAACATTATCAAAGAAAAAAATTCTTCACACAACTTCAAAACGAAGATATTGTTATTTGTGATTACATCAACGTGTAACGACCGAACAGCCAATATTCGGTCGGAACAACGGACTGACGAACCCAAAATTTATTCGATTAGACCAGACCAAGTTCCTCTGTATAGCTCACAACGCGTCTTTGAGATACTCGTATTATATTATATCAAAACACAAACTCTGTGCTCAATATAAACGGTTGTAATTAAGAAAACAGAACAAATTACATCAAAAATACAAAATACCTCGAACGGTACAGCCTGTGCTATACAGTCAGAAGTTTCTCTAACGCAAAGTAGTGCGCTAAACGATGAAAGAGACAGTTAATACTAAAGGGTTTGATACCTGAGAATCAATACAAATATTCCCAACAAGATGGGGTCAAATATCTATCTGCAGGGATACCAGCAATCCTCTCAAGCAGGCAGTCAGAAGGTTCACAATCACACACTGAACCACGCCGTGACCTTGACCTTAATCAAACACAACCTTACTGTCAATGGTCCGGCAACATGCAATGGAAAATTAGGTAACAAAAGCAAGTCTTTAATCAAAGTCGCATAATAAAGGCTCAAACGGGGAAGACTGGAGAACAAAAGATATGGTTAAACGAGATCGAAACAAAGGTTGGAATACACAAAAGGTAGAAGAAACAAGTAAATGACAATACTGTTCAACAAAGAAGCTGCGGAGGGATTTGCATCTTTTTCTTTCCGTTACTTTACGTTTACTTGAACGTAGGTTTACGCAAACCCATTCACTGGATCTTCGTTGTTGCAGATGTTTCTATGCTAATCATTGGTATGGACCTTCTACAACACCATAATCTAATCATCGATACGCGCAAACGGAGGCTAGTAGACGGAAACACTAAATTATCCGTTTGCGTAACTTCCTTTTCTGGTTGCAGATTATCCCCAGTCACAATTAAGCATACGATAGACCCACTCTATCAACCACTACCCGATAAGTACCGTGGGATACAACAAACTCAACCGAAACTACCGTGTGTGACCAGCAACGTTACACATCACACCACGACTACAGGACCACTTGTATTCCCTAAAGCACGATGACTAGCCCCCGAAAAGCTAAGGTTGGCGAAAAACGAGTTCGACCACATGATAGACTTAGGAATCATACGACCGTCAAATAGCCCATATGCATCTCCGTTGCACATGGTCCCCAAAAAGGATAGCAACGATTGGCGTCCAACTGGTGACTATCGGCGATTGAATGTGAAAACCATTCCCTTTCGTTACCCGTTGCTTCACATTCACGATTTGACAGCTACCTTGAAAGGTACAACTGTCTTTTCAAAAATCGACTTAGTTTAAGGGTATAACCAAATCCCTATGGCTATTGACGATATTCCGAAAACAACTATCATAACTTCCCTCGGACTCTATGAATTTTTGCGAATGCCTCTCGGTCTAAGAAATGCTGCTCAAACATTCCAAAGATTCTTAGACGACGTTTTTCGAGGTCTCAACACTGCACATGCGTATGTTGACGACTGTCTAATCGCAAGTCCGGACAGAGAAACACATCTCAAGCATCTGGATCTTGTTTTCGATCGACTTCAAAAACATGGCATTACTGTAAACATTCAGAAATGCCAAATCGGAACCGACTCATTTAACTTTCTAGGAAATACTATAGATGCTGAAGGAATCCCACCCTTTAGAGCCAAGGCGGTGGTCATTCTAGGTTACCCAGAACCGACCACGATCAAGCAGTTACGAACGTTTAACGGCCTAATAAGTTTCTATAGACGAGTCATACCTAAATGCGCATTACTTATGAAGCCTCTTACCAATCAACTTCGTGGAAATGCGAAATCCATTAATTTGTACGACACCGCACAAAAAGCATTCTGCACAATTAAGGAACTTATCGCGAAAGCAACAATGCTTGCACATCAGGACTCCCGAGCACCAATTAGTATTGCAGTAGACGCATCCGACTTGTAGTGGCCCGTGTATCTGACTCCCTTTTAAACTGTACGAATGTTTGTTATTGCTTATTCTCGTCATATCATCGTCGACTTAAATCGCGTTATCCAATAACGGAATTAAATAAGTCGAATAACGAGAATTGACTTGAGAATACATATATTTCGTACATGAAGCGAATGAAACAGCAAAGCAAAAATGACGCGTATGGAAGATGGCTGGGAAGCCAACTCCATCTTTGTCAAGCGTTACTCAATATTTATAGTCAGACAAAATAAAGCTACAGACATGTGATTAATGCGATAAGAAGGGCACACACATATACGCTCATATAAAAACAGTCAAGACTGACAAGCGAATAATTGACAAGGTATAGTATTCTAATTATCGTATGAATTAGGAATTAAAGGATTAACGCAATTGAATTAAGAAGACACAGGCACAACGAATGTACTGTATTTAGAATTCGAAATCAAACATTCAACCAGTACAAAGGTATCATTAGTCCATTCAAACACCACATCCGCCACAGCTTAAATAGAAGTATAAGTGTTTGTAATCGGTTGTACGTCTTCTTGTTAAGTTCATCCTGAGTCTGTCCGACATTGTATAAGATAAAAACTTTGTAGTATCTGGAATTGTATACAACCAGCATGTCGGTTTTGTAATGAAATCATTAATATCTAGAATTCGAACCATAGATTTTTCAACACTATCCTCCCCCACGAAATAATGTTGGATCTTTATATCCCCAGGTTATGAATAATGTGGCTTCATTTAAAACATATATCTCACATTGTTTAGAGTAAACATTAGAACTGTTTTTGTGATAAGAGTAAACAGCAGTTGATATGAAATCATCCGAAATATAATAAAACTTGAGGTCACTTAGTACTCGTGCTTCGCATTGAGCAGGTTTTTCACAAGGATCGAATGCATTGTGAGGATAGGTAATATATGATACGACATCAGGATTTGATTCTTTTGAAATATTCTCATGAAATTCATTAGGACTGTCATTGCAGAGCGTAGGATCGTTAGAAAAACCAGCATCTATCCTAACCACATCAGGTTTTCGATCATGATTAGGTTCATTTAACATATTTTCCTCAGAATTGCAAGTAATTTCATTAGAAATATGTGAATCATTAGGAAAAGTCATACCTGGTACAATAGCATGAGAATTCTGATAAATCGGTTGATTAGGAACTGTTGCCTCACAAGAATTCTGGATTTCATATAACTCTGAAGTGTCATATGACTCTGCACTGTCTTTTGAAATCGTTGATAAAGATAAATGATCATTAGAAACAGCCGAATTATTGAAATTTAAATTACAAGATTTAGTACAGCTTGAAGCAAAATGGACAGTAGCTTTGCATACTGACTGAATGTGTCCTACCTTACCACATTTAAAACATTTAGCATTACGAAATACACATGAATTGCGAGCATGAAACTTTCCACATGATAAACATTTACCAAACTTCATCTCACCTTTGTGATTTGCTTTGTAATTCCTTGTTGAAACACCTTTCGTATTTACACGAGAATAGGAATAACTGTTAAATGAACGCAAATTTGATTGACCCTGAGATTGTAGTTCATCATGACGACTAAGCAAAGTAACAGAAATCTTCATCGACTGGATATCAAGTTCATTCACTGCTTCGTAGTTAATACACGCAGTCCTAGCATCTTGAAAGGAACAGTTTGGCATTTTTAACAGCTCTCTTTCCAAACTCGGCATATTAATTCCTGCAATTAATCGATCTCTCAGTTGCACATGAAGTTGATCACCGAAATTACACTTGGCGGCTTGTTTCTGTAATTCAACGATGAATTCCCGAGCCTTTTGGTCATTTTGACGGATCATCTTATGAAACTTTGCCCTTTCACGGCATTCAAAACGGGTGCATTTTACATGACTTAATAATAGCTCTTTAAGAGTTTCATAAGGGAGTGAGATAGGTTTTTCTGGATATGCCAGAGTTTTTAATAAGCTGTAAGCTTCTCTCCCAATGAATGTGAGAAAGTGTGCCACAATATTAACATCCTCATCATCTTCTTTTGTCATGCTCCAAATTTCGAACCTTTCCAAATAATCCTCAATATCTTCAGGAGTTGAATGAATATCCAACTTTTCCATTGCAGGTTCCATCACGACGCCAATATAGTATTCTAATTGTCGTATGAATTAGGAATTAAAGGATTAACGCAATTGAATTAAGAAGACACAGGCACAACGAATGTACTGTATTTAGAATTCGAAATCAAACATTCAACCAGTACAAAGGTATCATTGGTTCATTCAAACACCACAGAAAGTTATATTGGGACTATGAATAATGTAGGGATCTATTCAACCAGGGTGTACGAAGCACTCAAACTGGAAGACAGTTGTCCAAAAATAATTCAAATATGAAGGTGAAAATTCGCAGGTACTTTTCATCGTAAGGGTGGACATATTAGGTACCGAATGACGTCATGTTTTCGAAAGGACCCAGACTTCCGACAACCATAGATGAAGTCACAGATACTACCAATCTATTGCAGAGGGTTTGTTATGAAAAATGTCGGGTCCTTTCGAAAACAATACTGATATCAACTACTGCTAGGCAATCAGTATTAGTTTGACTCGTTGGCGGGATAGTGTTGTCCATAATACTGAAGAAAATTAAAAACTGCAGATTGTTTCTTTTCTTTTTGCCGATTATATCATAAAGGACAGTTAGGAACGAACATGCGGACAGTTAGTCACAGGCGGTAGCAACAATTATTTTAGCTAAAAAACGAACTTCAGCTTTGGGTATCTAGAAAACAAGTCAATGCAAAACCGATTACCATTTTAAAACATAAGACTAGCCAGCTTGGCTGAAGAAATACATTGACTTGAGAAGAAGCAGCAAAAACACAAATAGCAATGCTGATTCGAAGTAAATTTCACACCAACATATAGAACATTACACTAACTGTGGCATTTAGCAAACTGAAACATTAAATTACATAGCTACACAAAATAAATAGCTGAAAGAAGCACAGAACGAAGAAAGCCGACCGCTATTGCTTACAAAGATGACGGATATAATAATTCCCGCCCCATTCTGATTGGTTGCTAAGCGGAAGGACACATTTACGAAATTGAGTTGCGTTTAATTGCAGCCGAATCGTATGACTGATTGTTATTGAAATATAAGTATCGTCAATCGTCGCATATATTTATCGATTTATATCGCGTTAGTAAATAACGGAATTGAAGAAGTCAAATGCGATAACGGATTTTTTAACACGCATATTTTGAACGCTTGCTGGTTGGAACAGATAACCAGAGAGGCATTGCGCAGTAGAGGAAAAAGAAAGAGTGGAGCGAATCGAAGTGTCGTGCCGTGGAGAAGACATGTAAGTCAACTCCTTTTTAATCAAGCGTTAATCAATATTTGTAGTCACACAAAAATAAGCTAAAGACATGTGTTGAGTAAGATAAGATATACTCACATATACGCTCATATAGAAGCAGTTAGGGCTGATAAATGGATAATTATTTATGTCAAAATGTGACTCAGGAAGAATGGATAAAATGGCCTCTCGAGAAGCTAGAATAAGTTGTGTAGGATTTACATGGTAACCGACACCACAAATGTAGGAAGCAATTTCCTACTGGTTCTAGTATAGTACAATGAAGGATAGAGGCTTTCGCTTCTCCGTTACAATATTGAATCAAGTAATTTAGCTTAGCTCTAAATCCAGTATTCTCACTCCCAATGCATTCTTCGAAATTTCTAATGAAGTTCCAATAATTTGTCGGTGTACCATCAAACCTTACGACTTTTCTTTTTAGTAAATACAGATTTTTTGAATATTGTATTCTCACTGTTGCTTACTGATTGGCCGGAACCTTCACATCTCTGTCAGCGTAAATTTTCTAGTTCAATTTCCTTTTCTAACTGGGGGTGATAACTCTGGAATCTCATCGGAATCGTAGTATTTATTGGAAGTCATTTCAATAAGTATATCGAATCTATTGTTCGAAACTTTGTAGGAAGCAATTTCTTACAGGTTCAATTCTGAGCTATTCCCTAGACCGTCGAATACAGAGTCTTGGTTTGGTCAAAGTCAGAACAAGCAAGCGATTTGGCTAGATAAACGTTATCTGTTTCTAAAACATAAATTAACATCGTTAGTGTACAAACAAACAGTACGGTCCATTAATACAGGGAAAAACAGATAAATAACATACCGAACAGTAGCCAGAGAATAGGAAAAACGAGTCAATAAAGCGAATATTGTTATACAATGAACATCAAAATGCGATTGGTTAATAAAGAGATACAGTCACACGAGGTCAAAGGGAGTTAATGTGGTGGTGGGTGTTTCACTTTATTATTGGTGGGTTCGTCTATTGATCACATTTCACAAAAAGTTTAGGACGCTCGATTCCTTGCAAATTGTTCAATGAAGCTGTACGAGACAAGGCGCCCGCCACTACATTGTTTGCCCCAGAAGTGTGTCGTACGTCTGAAGTAAACTGGGAAAAGTGGTCCAGTTGTCGAGACTCTCCGTGGGAGTACTTATCTGAAGACAAGCTAGGAGAGAATGTGAGAGGTTTGTAGTCGATAAACAGAGTCGATTCTCGGTTTTCCACATTGTTAAAAGTGCCGTACAGCACAATATATGGCTAGGTGTTCCTTGCCGAAAGTGTTATACTCCGATTTAGTGTCTTACAACCGTTACAGGTAAAATGTCAAAGACTGAATACAATTGTTTGTCCATTGTTGTAAGACTTCTTTTGCCGAGTTGCGTGCGTCTATTGTGATATTAATGGGTGCTTTTATGTTCTGGTGTGTGAACATGGTTGCTTTTGTGACAATTTCCTTAACTGTGGGGGATGCTTTGTTTGTGTTGTCGTCCAAAGTGGTGACTATTGCATTTACACGAAGTTGGTTAGTTGAGGGTCTCATGAGAGACACACAATTCGGTGTGAACCATAGATAGAAACTTACCAGGCCGTTGAACGTAAATAACCGCTTGACTACGGTTATTTCAAGTAATCCATAATGGCCACCACTTTGCTTTTCAGGATGCTTATGCCATTAGCTTCAATAGTGTGTTCCGTAAGAACTAGGGAGTCGGTTCAGATTCGATATTTCTGAATGTTTACATTAATGCCGTTCTTTTGAAGTCGTTCGAAGACAAGGATCACATGCTGGAGAGGACATTCTCTGTGAGAGCTTGTGATCAAGCAGTCATCTACATATGCGTGTATGAAGTTGGTACCTCGAAAGACAGCATCAATGAATACCTTAAAATTTTGTGCAGCATTTTAAAGCCAAAAAGCACACGCAAAAATTTGTGGAGTTCAAAGTTGGTAATAATAACGGCTTTAGGGATGCCATCAACAGCCATAAGAATCTGATTACCAGCTTAAATCAAAGCGATTTTTTAAAAATGTGCTTTTGCTTTTTAAAGTAGCTGCCGAATAGTGAACGCCAACTTCTGCACCAGTTTTCATGGGAAAACGAACTTCCGTCACCAAATCAGTGCTGTACAACAAATGCCCTTGTTCGCCAACTCAAGTTGCCAATAACGCGTTTCGGTGGAGGCAAGAAGAGATTTCAGTGTCGGACGACTTTGAGATCGGGAAATTTCAAAGTTTTCTGTAATTTATAAAAGTTAGCCTCTTCGTAAATGAACCAGGCTTCTATGTTTTCGGGCCAATATGGAATTATCTAAATGTTGGGTGGTGAGAGAGCTTTGATCCTCAGCAGTTTGATGGTTTGTCACATTATGACAAAGATATAAAATTTCAATGGGCGGGAGAATATGAAAACAAAATTACATTAGGTATATATAAAAATGAACAGATTCACAGTTTGTGGGTTGATGTGTCAAGAAACGTCGACCCCACCACTAAAGATGTCATGGGTATTCATAGTTTGACAACGCCTTTACTAATACACTATTGTAATCGAAGTATGCCAACCCAGTCAAATCAGGAGTCACAAATGAAGAGGTGCGAAGTTATATTTGGAGGTTATCTATATCTCGAGAAGCGTTTGATCTAAACTAGGTAGCAGCTGTGGAAGATGCGTAGTGCGGCGTACCAGCTCGTGAAATAGTGTGGATGCATGACCGAGCGCATTTAGCTAGTCCAGTGAAACTAATGAGGCCAGCATAAAATATTAAAGGCTGACAAAAATATTTATTTTGGAGATTTATTTATCTCTTCAAACTTTTTAAATCATTACTATACCAGCAAGTTTTCCGGTCACAGTTTCTAATTTGTTTGTTGGCTTGTACTACAGCAAAGATTTTGCAAGGTCATGATTTTAGCTCAACTATGAAAAATAGTATATGATAACGATGGTTGTATATTTTGGAACATATAAAGTTTCTAGACTGACTATATGTCTGTTATTAATTGAACTTGCCAGTACTCAAAATTGGTGGAACTTCGAATCCTACATAAATCCATTCAAACTTCCTGTATTTACTCCACTGCCAAACCAACGGTTTACTCATATTCCTGAAGTCAATCAATACGTTCCGATGCCAAACGATGTTGTTGTGGACATACCAAGGTTTGTTTCAGCACATGTTTTCTGTAAAATGCATGCCAAGGGCCGGGATGGGAAAGTTTATTGGTTTTTCTACCACGATAAATTATGGCCATACCTGGTCGAGGTGGCAACCAACAAGTGGTCGATTGATCAATGCGTTTCTCGGAATACCATATGCAGCACCCCCAACCGATGGAAGAAGGTTCAGGGTTTGTGTGTTTTGATGTTCATTCTATTTGAATACAGTTTCCCGTTCCTGCTTACTTAGATACCCGATTTCCTTGGTTTGCAAAACGCTTTAGATCAGCGTGTATGCAACCATACATCTGGCTTAGCCGATTTATACCAGGCTTTACAGATATAAGTGAAGACTGTTTGTATCTGAACATTTATTATCCAAATGTAAGTTCGTATCATCATCCATTATTTTTTGAACTAATCATGTTTTCATGTATCTTGTTTATAAACAGGACACATTATGATTCTCATGAAAACTTTTAAATACTATAACTTCAAAAGTGTCATACTGTATTTATTATATTGGAGAGTATTTTAACTAGCCAACCGACCAGTTATGAACGTCATTTGTGAAGAGATCTTAAATAATGATCAAGATATAATGTACAGATATTAGAGTTTTTGAGATGTGTTAAACTGACATACGTCTAAACATCTAATGTAGCTCTAAGAATCGTTACATGCTTATTATTTGCTCTTGACTATCCAAAAAGAGTATTAGGAGGATTTTATGTCATTAATTAGGTGAATTATTGCAAACCTAGTAGTTTTAACTGCACTTCTGCTCTTGGTGCTTTAGGAAAAACACACTAAACTCAATTATTTATGAGTTTTCAGGAATTTGTTTTAGCTTAAATGCTCACGGTGTTGACTGGAAATCTAAAATATGTCGCATAGTTCTATTATTAATATTTGTGTTTCGGTTTACTTTACTCATTCATCTTAAGGCTATGTATATAAGATTATGGTCTACAGGACGGAATTTATGCTTAAAGAGTGCTAATTTGATCCGAAATGTGATGCAAAACGGTGGGTCAGTACCTAGGACTTAATTTAACGTCTATCGTTTTTACAGTAAACGTTGTCTCTCTGTAGTGTGTTAATATCACTAATAAGTGATTGCTAAAGTTGGTTTCACCCTAATAACAAGTAGCCTGTCTTTTTTTAATATCCTCTCAGCTGATTCATTTTTAAATAACACTGATTCACTTTACTACAATTTTCTGTTCTGAAAGCTTTCACGATTTCCGAAAACTGCACCTCAATAAAAAGTTAGAAAAACTTCATCACACAATCTTGTACCTTCATTTATTCAGCTGTTGTTATAGACATTGTGTTTAAGTTCGGTGCTTCATTAAATATTTTAACTTAATGTTTCGTAATATTTCTATGTTGCACGTAAAAAGATGAAAATAACACAAGAAATATAAAAGACAAAACGTACGGAAATACCAAACAGTTGATTTCTTGTCGCTTTAATAATGCCCCTTTAAGTATATCAAGGAAATTGAAATACTTAACGCTGTAAAAGCTGGACCGGAAAACCTTTTGTGATCAGGATTGATCACCCGGGTACTTTTAAATTTATGTGGTACCTTGACTGCTTAACGAGCAGTTGCTTCCATGGTTTAATCATATAGGAACCTTTGTGATTCATCGTTTTTAGGGCTCTTTCGGCTTGTTAGGAAATGCTGAAGTAAAAATGAATAGCACATCAATTCAACAAATTTACAAGATCAATGTTTATTTACAGATGTCATATTAAGCAAATTGATCCTTTTACTTAGCACCTCATATATCCAATTTTTGATAGAAGGCAAAACGTATCACTCCTATTTTATACAGGGTACATTCAAATAATAAAAACATGCATATAATCTTAGTTTCTAACCTTATATCTCATGAAGAATATAATTCTAGCAGTCATGGATATAAAAGTAGCATAGCTAAGAAAAGCCTAGTTACTGAAAGGAATTTCATTCGTAATGAGGGTTAAGCAATGGCACTAAGTGATATCTCGACATATATCACGAAATCGGTTGGACTTGGAGAGGTAGGTCATCGAATGTCTACTCAGTGGTTCTGAAGTTTGCGCATTTGATGAGAGATTTGAAATCTTGCGTACCATCTGAAATTAAATTATGAGTGAGCATGACTGAGGAGTATCACAATGGAAAAAATCTCTCCTCATTACTCCCTGGTTTAAGGTAACTCTGATTCATAGCCAATAACGGTAACATGTGACAAAAACTACTTACAAAGTTAAATAGTCTTTATGATATGTTAACTAAACTACTAAATTAATTTGATGAATTCTTTGTATAGAATAATTCAGGCAGCTGAACTAACATTTCATTACCCTGGTTATCTTTACAGTAAATCTTTTTCTAAACCCTACACACAGATGCAAAAATGCCTTGAATACTTATGATTTAATTTTAATTATAACAGTTATTTTATCCTCCTACTTTATACACATATGTTCTAGTTCTTCTGACTGAGAAACGGTTGATTTATTTTTAAATGAGAGATTTGATTATTTATTTATTTATTTGAACACATAAATATTGGTACAAGAGAGCGCCAATATATATGCGCCACACAAAACAATGAGAATTCGAAGAGAAAATAAAGGAGCGTGAAAAAAAGAGAACAATAACGAAGAGGTTGGTGTAAGGTAGTGTAGTAATAATAATAGTAATAATGAGGAAACGGAAAGGTACAATCAGAAGAAATCTTTCAGGTAAAGGAGACACAACCACTTTTTATGAAGAAAGTAAAAGGTTACAGCAGGATCGCCACTGGCTTCTATTCTGAGCCATATCTCATAACGTCTCTAGCCACTGTGTAGCACCATCTCTCGGACCCCAACCAGGGAGCCGTGAAGGACCAACACAAGCCAGTTCTTTGCAGCTTTTTTTCATAACACGACACCATGTCATGCACTGACCACCTCTCTGCTTCTTCCAACTAGTCCCAGAGTCGGCAAATAATGCACGACGTGGAATTCTCTGAGACGACATTCGTAGAACATATCCAAGCCACCGAAGTCGATGTTTCAAGATGGTGACACCGATTGGATTATCATCTCTGCGCCCAAACACACGATGCCGAACCTCTGCATTACTAACATGGTGTTGCCACTGGATGTCAGCAATCCTCCGGAGACGGTGATGATCGAACACAGAGTCGTTTAACATCCTCAGCTCGGAGAGGCCACGTTTCACAAGCATAGAGCAGAACTGCTCTCACCGATGCGTCGTAAATCCAACATTTTACAGCCAGACTGACATCACAAAGGCCCCAAAGATGGCCCAGATTGGCATAAGCTATTCTGGCTTTCACTATACGTGCATTGATCTCATCACTCACGCCACCACCAGCGCTTATGCAGCTACCCAGATACACGAACTTCTCAACTACGTCTATCTGCTCACCGTCCAGGGTGAGTACAGGATTAGAATCCTGCCAGTCTTGTAGAAGTACTTTGCACTTCGAAGGTGCAAAGCACATACCATACCTACGGACACTGATTGCCAACTGATTAAGTGCGGATTGCATGCCTTGGGCATTATCGCACAGTAAGACAATATCGTCCGCATACTCAAGGTCGAGAAGTCTTTCTCCAGGCAACAGATCCGCACCACCATTACTTATATCCACCAGGGTTGTTTCCAGAATGTCATCGATGGCAAAGTTGAAGAGGGATGGTGGGAATGAACAACCCTGTCTAACCCCATTGCTTGAATGGAACAATGGAGAAAGGTGGTCGTATGGCCTCACTCTGCCTGAGGTGTTTGTATATAGGGCCTTTATGACGTTAATAAACTTCTCAGGCACACCCTTCTTCAATAGACAATTCCAGAAAACAGTCCTGTCCAACGAATCGAAGGCAGCCCTGATGTCAAGAAACACTACGATTGTTGGCCGTTGATAAGTATGACGGTGTTCTAACATTTGGCGGAGGGTGAAGATGTGATCGATACATCCTCGATCAGAACGAAAACCAGCTTGCTCCTCGCGAGTCAATCTTTCTCGGGTTTTGAACAACCTACGAAGAATGACGGAAGCCAATAGCTTGGACGCAATCGGAAGTAGACTTATCCCCCGATAGTTGTTACAGGAACGACGTGAACCCTTTTTAAAGACAGGGACAACTATCGACTCATTCCATGACGTTGGTATACTCTGTAGTTCCAAAACCTTTGTAAACAACGCCGTCAATTCCTTAGTCAAAAAGTCACCACCATCTTTAAAAAGAGCCGGAGGTAAGTCATCTGGGCCAGGTGATTTGTAACGCTTCAAGAGTTGGAGTTCCTTGCGGACTTCCTCCTCATTTGGTGGATCAGTCGTCACCGGCCTTGGAGGGCAGGACAGTCTGACCGATTTTGCCGGAGCAGCAGGCCAGTTGAACTGCCCTTCGAAAAATTCTGCCCATCGTCCAAGACGTCGATGGATGTTAGTGATTGGCGTTCCGTCATTCTCGCATATCGTTTCGCTCTCATCAGACTTCTTGCCGCCAGTGGCTCGGATGAGTTGGAAGAGCTTCCGGTAGTTACCAGATGCAGCTGCTGCTTCCAACTCTTTAGCACGCTCCGACCACCAGGCTTCTCGGTCCTTACGCAAGCTTTGCCCAATTTCCTTACGTAATATCCTTCGTTTGTGGTCAAACTCACGGTCACCCGGAGTAGACCGACGGGCTTCAGTGAGTTGTAAGGAACCAGAAGAAACCAAGTGCTTATAAGCGGGACGTTTCGCGAACTCACAACTGACTGTACCCGCCACGTTCATGGCGTCATGCAATTGCAACCAATGTTCATCTATACTTTTCGGTGGAATGGTAGCTAGCCTAGAAACTAGCTCGATTCGATACTTATTTCCAACAGAAGTTGCAACCAGCTTGCTAACATCAATCCGTTGGTGGCGGTCACTTCGTTGGCCACTGAAAAGTAAGGCAAGATTGGCGCAGACCAAGGCATGGTCAGAGTCCAGATAGGTACTCCAAAAGGAGCGGCAGTCTTGTACACAACCACGCCAGCGGTAGCTGATCGCGATGTGATCAATATGAGTCCAGGCTTGAGATGCAGAGGGAGGACGCCAGGTGGCACATCGGCGATGACTGTGCCGAAAGTTAGTGCTAGCCAGAAATAAGTTGTGGTCTGTGCACAGTTGCAGTAGACGGTCCTCGTTATCTGACCTGCGACTAACAAGTCCCCATCGGCCACCTAAACGACTCTCTTCTGTGCCTAGACGCCCGACCTGAGCATTCAAGTCTCCGGCTAGTACTACAATATCTGTCGAACGCACTTTCTGGAGAAGAACAGATAACTGGTGGTAAAACTCATCCTTGATTGCATCCGGGCTGCAATCTGTCGGAGCATAGGCGGAGATGACGAGAAGACATCGTTTCTCACGCCGATTTCTTCTCACTTTGATGTAACTTTCTATTCTAACAGCACATAACTGACTGTCAATGGGGATCCAATCGATTAGAACTGCCTCAGCTCTAGCGCTTAGTGCGAGACCAACGCCAGCAAAACCAGACGAAGGTGCCACAGGGTCCCCGGATAAACGCACGTAAAACAAGCCTTTTGAAGCGACAGATGGAGAGCAAATTTGTAGTACCTTACCAGAGTCTTGAATACGGGTCTCGGATAGACAACAAACGTCGATATTAAGACTTTCCAATGATATAGCCAGCCCTATCTGTTGTCCGACCTGCATAAGTGTGCGAACGTTGAAGGCAGCCAGTTTGAATGGTGCACGTGGTTTCAGAAAAACTCCTTCAGTATTCGTGTTTAATGGTAGCATACAATTTTCAACCGGACAGTGACTCAAGAACGTTTAGATACAGTCAAATTTCCACCAAAGACGAGCCGCTGTTTAAGTATAAAGAGGGTGAATAATGTGGTAAATGATAATAATAATAATAATGATAATAATAATAATAGTAATAATAATCATTTGAATCATTTGATTGTTATTCGAAGCGAGAAAATTAGTTTCCATAGATATAGAGAGTTCATCATTTGCGTGTGGGCTGCGATACTGCCCGGGTGCCCAGACCGAAGCAAGTGGTTTTCTTAGGGGGCCACACCCCGAGTCTTTGACCTAAAGGTCTAACCCACAAGGCAGTGGAACATCGTAAGGAGATGCAGTCCCATGGCAGCTGGTGACCAATGATTGGTTCATACGCCATTTGTTCCCGCAGGATACTGGAGCCCATGTGCACCATTGGTTTGGGATCCGGTTAAAGCGCCGGACATTCGCTTTTCGTCCTCTCATTTTCGTAAACAACACCCCCTCCACGAGAAGGCAATGAGTAGGACTCCACTGGCAGAGGGTGTATACGCGCGGCCGTGTGAGAGTATTTCGAGAGGGAGAGCGGACTCTCCCCACTCTCGGCCATACCAGGACATTTGGGGGCTAATTTTACGAAGCCTAACAAGAGTTAGGTATATATCTACATAAAATTTTATTAAAATTTTAGCATATTCTGTTCTAAAGCTAATGTTAGATTTCAGGGTGCTCGTTTCTTCTTGATTAGGACTAGTCAGTTAAATGTATTTGAATTCTAACTTTGATATGCACACCAAAACTTGACCCTGGCTATCTATTGCCTCAGGCGCATGATACGTTATTTAATGATCCAATAAGTCGGTGTAAGTACGGGCTTTCTCAACGGATGTATAGCTATTCTTTAGGGTTTACAATTTTCAGTCGTTGATATTTGTGACTGCGATAGACCTGCCATGTTCATGACCTGTGAGAATCCCTTCTACACAGGTGGTCTATATCAATACAATTCATTCAAGCTGCTTTATAACAACAAAACTCACTTTTTATAGCCCTTAGTATCAATTAAGAGAAATTGAAAACTCTCTTGATGTTTGAAATTTTGTCTTAAAAATTCAGATTTACCGATTGTTATTCTTTTTATTAAAAAACATTACTGTAGAATACATTGGATGCTTCTAATACCCGTTATCCTGTGATTGTACATATTCATGGTGGAAGTTATGTTTATGGTTCTAGTCATATGTATCCTGGTTTAGCATTGGCTTCCAAGGGTTTAGTTGTAGTAACATTCAATTATCGTTTAGGACCGTTTGGTAAGTTTGCGTTTTGCTTGTTTCACCTCGAGTTTTGAAAATAATCCAGTTAACAATTTTCAGTCGAAAGGGTTTTGTGGTGCTTGGTTTAGTGCGTAGTTTGCATTCACCACAGATTGACCTTGGCCTCGGTTTCACTAAAATCCGTTTCATACCAGTAGAAAATCCCCGCTGACAATGTTCAGCCCTTAGTTCCTGCCTTCAATCCCTGATATGGTGATGTACATCTTTATTGGAAAGTCCCGTACTAATAAGAAACATTTTTCAATGTTTCCTGGAGTTTAATAGTATCCAAAGTGAAAACGGTTTGGGACGAATAGAGGCAAAGAAAAGTTGATGAATCATTTAATACTTTTTCTATTTTCATCATGACGGATCATCGAAAATAACTGGTGGTATTAGATAAGGTATGTAAATGTCGAAAATAAACCAGAGTATTAAAACGTAAGGAAATTCCTTACATATATAGATTAATTTTAGTAAATATGGAAGAATCACAAATGTTGTGTACAAAACGTTTATTATGTCATACAAAAAATGGGGCTTGGTTAATATATATATTATAAAAAGCAACATAACTTACATTACGATGAAAGTGTACCTAGGTTGAATACACTTCGTGTTGATAGTTCGGAAACAAAGCTTTAAGTGGAAGCACACTGTCCGTTAATATTTTATTGGGTTAAACAAATTATTCCTTGCATTCAGACTATGCATATCATTTTTACAACTAGGTGTAATATGCTTTCGACGTAAGCATTGCCATTTCCATATGTACAATAATCAATCATCAAATAGTGAACAGTATCATGAGTTTTTAATTATGCTCCCTGTCGGGTTGTAATCCGGATCAGCCAGTTTCTCAATCTGAGACACTATCAATAGTCTTTTTGAGAATAGTTCTCGATGAAAAGTGTCAACAATCGTTTTCTGTTGACAATCGACAATCAATTAACTATCATGTATATTTTTAACTTTGACAAATCCTTGTAAAGAGACTACCACACAGGAAGAGTGATATGAAAAACCTAATATTGCTTCCTCTAATGTGGTTAAATGGATAAGTTAAGTAAACTCTTTGAAAGTTTAACACTGTCTCATTGATTGCAGATCTACAACACAAAATAAATAAAAGCTCAAGAATTACCAACATACAATGTCTCAGTACAATTTCCAACATTTATGCATCTCTGTTTTCATTGAGCGTAATATAGTTAGTATAAGACGGAATATTTCTTATCAAACTTATTAATGATTTTATTCACTTTCCTCTCCGCATCTTTTGTTGTTTAAGTGACTTTCTGACCTGATCTCGTCCTTGATCTCAATAACATTCACCCATATCTACATGACTCTTCTTGTACTGATAATATTCATTCCATGTCATAGTCATATGAGAATTTATTGCACTCGCATTTTCTGTGTATGAATACGTTTTTGCTTAAAATTGTATCGTTCAGTACTTTACCTTCTGAACTATTAAACGTTTGTTTATCCTAATGAAAATTATGTTGTAGCTATAAACAAAGATAGCAATTTTATACATGAACGAGTATCAGTATAATACAGGAAGCATGTACATGAGGTATGCATACAGGCGCATACACAGCTTTTGCAATAATTGCGTTAAGTGCAATGATGAAAACATTTTTTAAAGAAATTTACGATACATCGGTCTTTTTCGCCTTCAAAATACCACTCATTTTTGACAATGCGCTTGGTCCACGTACGTTTTCATTATTCTAAGTGTTTATAGAAGTTCTCGGGCGCCGGATATTCGATTGGCTAATAATTTCTCAATACCAAATATTTTGCTAAAAATGTACACGGACGATTTTCCTGAATTCACTTCAATGGCAATCAGTTTGATGGTTGGTCAGTGATCTGAAAACACAAAACAACCACAGAAATTCGATATTTTTACCAACGTAGAGGATTGATGGCCACCCATTCTATATATAGTCGTCACATTTGAAGACGTTAAGTGACACAGTTTATATCTAATCACACTAGCGTGTAAATACACTTATAAATGACTATGTTAGATTACTGAGGGCTATAGGTATGAAACCATACATGGTCTGAGTTTTATGCCATATATATAAGATGTTTTCATCGTTAAATGTAGAGTGGATCGTTTTCTACGTAAAGCATTAGTTACCTGTATGTTGTACGTATGACTTGGTAACAAGTATCATATACAACTCTATTAATGTCATTTTGCACTCACGCAGTGTGTTTTTATACCACTTATTCATATACAAGTAAATTCCTTTATTAGGTTCTACAGAAATTTGACGATAAAACATGTCAACCTGTCCATATGATGTAATCTAGAAAATAAAAATGGTAAAATCCAGTTCTCTACTTTATAATTCACATACATATACAATAACTATGCTAAATCCTTGCATGAATGTACATGAATAGAAATACAATAAATTGTAAAAAAAAAGAAAAACTAATCAGTCAGCACAATCAGTAACATGAAAATCAGTGTGCTTATATTATTGAATAGGTTAAAAGATGTCCAATTCAATTATTTAGTCATTTTTCTAATATTTTTAAACATTTTCTTAACATCAATACCAAGATGTAACATATAAATGTACTGGAGACACATATTACACATCATAAACGTCATTCACTTGACCAAAACTTCCATAAAAGATTTTCATTTGAAAAAAAAGCTTTAGTAACACTTAGAAAAGAGGACAAGCAGAAGAGGACAGACAAACGTTTGGTTTCGGCCACATGTCTTAATACGTAGTGACTGAGCGACTTGTTTATACATGTTATGCAGTCGTTGGATAATTCATATGTTTTACTGTCTGTTTTTTATTGTGTAAGTAGTCATAGTTACATTTTGAGAAAATAACAATCATTTTATTACAAATGAAATTTATTGTTTAGCGCCACGAAGAAGTCACACAACACATTGAACATGTGTACTTAAGTATACATTACTGGGTGGTATTATTCATCATGTAAGGCATTCAAAAATATCTTTTGATTTTTCTTAACAAATATTATTACTATGATATACGTTTTTGTATAAAAGCAGAAAATAACAAGGTAGAAAATAACTATGCAGAATATCTGGTGTTTTTTTAACTTCATGGGATATTAGGACTAGTGAATACACAGAACTAGTATGGAGGAATTTTCATGGTGATTATAGAATTCTCATAGTAGAAAATCACTAGTTGAGCTTAGCTAGACCGCCTTTGAAAACCTGATAGCACTGGATGGAAGTTTTATCCTAGTATGGGACTGCTTAAAAATGTACATCGATAGCCCTACATCCGGGAATCGAACCTAGAACCTTCGGTATCGTGCATGAACCCTTAACCTCCAGACTACTAAGCCTCCAACCACCGGTGTACAACTCCCACTCAGACCGACCCACGATATTGAACAGCCCTCATTCATCGCTTGTAGTGGAGAACTGTGCTCCATCCTAGGATAAAATAGCAGTCCAGTACTTCCAGATTTCCAATGATAATCTAGTTGTGAGCAGTTCTTGGTTTAAAATATATGAAAACTCGAAAATCCCTGTGTATCAGTTTATCTAACTGTTTTTCTATCTATCTTACCTTTTCATTCAACCAGGTTTTCTCGCAACTGGTGATCATGCATCGATCGGTAATTATGGTCTATGGGATCAGTTGCTTGCAATCACTTGGGTTAAACAAAATATCGAATGGTTTCAAGGTGATCCTGAAAAAATTACATTAATGGGAGAAAGTGCTGGTGCGGCTAGCGTCGGTCTTCATTTAATCTCACCGTTAACACGAGAAAGATGTTAGTGACGGTTGTTTATTTTTTTTCGAAAGATGAATGTTTTATGACTCCTTTTTACAAATAATGCGTATTTCTTGAAAGGTTCTGAAAACAACTTTTTGTATGATGTAGAGTGTGTACTACAGAGGAATTCTTAGATCGGGATGAAAGAACTTTATAGCGCCTCCTGGTCTACTGCCCTTTTCAAGGTGATGGTAGCTCTTTAGTAAAAATTATAGTCAGTTTGACGAAAGTTTTCATTAAATATTCAACCAAAACAGTGAACAGAGAACTGGTATCAATCATGAGTTGATTTCATATTAAGAAATATTGCAAGCTAATGAGAATTGAATAATTGCTTTATCGACATTTATAGCTCATCAGTAGAAGTAAGCAACAATAAAATAGCCGAAGATCTGAACACATGGCTTTTTTGGTCTCTTAGAGAACGGGTACTTTTAATCTACTGAGTTGAGATTTTAATGGTCCACGTCCCAAGTTTTATTCATTTAGTGATACAACGTCGCAGCTATGTAATACACATGGTTAATCAATGAAAAAATATATAACTAAAATAGTATAGTTTTTTTTTGTTTAAAGTAATTTACAATAACGCACAATTATCATCCGACACCACTCGTGAAAACTATTTCACTCTTGACATGCCTGAACTCCACCAGTCACTATTTCTAACGAGAAATTTAGGAATATGTTGAAGTAAGTCATTACTAAGTCAATTATTACAGTTTGATTGGAGAATTTTTGTAGAAATTGGTTTAATCTGTAGGTTGTTTTCTCCACAAATAACGGTATCATATTAAACCAGTTAGCAATGAATATCTGTTAGTTTTCAATAGTAAGTAGCTTATTTTCTAACTGGAAATATAACTCATAACAAACTAAAGTACTATTACTGGCGAAATAATGTTCATGATGAAATCTAATATTTGAAAGAAAATATTCACAATTCCTAATGAAGAATAAAACTGATTAAAGCCCATTTAATGATCAGATGCGACTACTAACAATCATTAATCTGTATTTAGGTTATATACAAAAATTTTTTTCAAAATCATTATTTTTACATAGTAAATGTAGCTAATTAACAGTAATTAGTAGTTATTCCAATAATTTGCTTCATTTCACAAAAAAACTTTTATTAATTTTTGCTTAATAATTCAAAAGTCTAGCTAAAGGGCTTGCATTAGTCAGAATGTTCACCAGTGAAACAGTTGTCACCAATAGAATCAGATACGCCATATCTCATCTTAATCAAGGTAGAAGTTGTAAAACCGGACGCAAGTTCTGTGTTTTAATGTATAAGCGTTAAATATGAGACCTGAATGTATTAAGTCCGGTCCCTAGGAGGTTGTATATATACATAAATGATGGCTCCTATCTTAGGTCAAAATAACAGTGTAGTACTCTATGATTTTCACTGATACATCAAGTGAGATCAGTGTTTAATGAATGTGAATTAAAAATTTCAGTCTTTTGACATCAAGAATACAGATGTACAGAATGAAAAAGTCTACAATACAATCTCTTCTTGATTATAATTAAATTAAAATCTAGTCATACGTAATTTAACCTACTGGATATGTGTTACGTATGCCCAACCACCAACTGCCCTGACGAGCGAAGTTTTATGTTTTAAGAGTAGGTTGGAAGAAAGATTGGGGTGGCCAGATCAAAGCATAGATCAAATCCATGAAGTCACTGACAAGTGGACTGAGGCATGTTGGTAGGTGTAGACTATCTGGTTGGGATCCGCGAGACGAAAGCAACCGATGGTTAGAGACTGTGAATGACATGGCTCGAAATTGTTTGCAATGGCGCAAGTGCGTCCACTCTTTGTGTTCTCCCAAATTCTAATCTTCTGAATTCTTCATGTTCCTTTTTTTCTCTTTCCCAATTTATTTCACTCGATTATACTCCTTGAATAACATCTTGAAACCCGAATGTATCTGATCACTGCTTCTACTTTCACTACCTCTACGACTATGGGAGTAGAATCGACAATTGTATCTCTGTGCTAATATGGTATAACAAGTCGAACTGATGTACGTACGTACGGAGTTCTACTTTGTTGAGTGACTGGCTGATTTTAGGTCTGATGAAGTTCTAATAGAAATTAAGATTGTTTGCTTATATGTCTCGTTTTAATATTGTTATTATAATGGATTTCTTTGAATTATGAAGCGTTAGACTAAAAAAATCATTCTAATCAACACATATCTTCCTTCATTAATGTAATAATCATGTTGTTTATATAATGACTAATTTTTGCAGATATTTTTTGAGATGTTAGATGGTTAGAGGTTTTCTTTTTCCCAGCTGGGCTTACCTTGATCTCGGCAATGATATTTACGCTGAGACGTGAACCTAGTAACTATCATTCCAAACACTAACGCATTATTCCCTAATCTACTAATCTATTCACATTCACTCAGAGTTTTTCCGTTTCAACAAAACACTTAGTGGTTCAGTTTGTATATTTATAGGACAGATCATATATGTGTACAAAGAGCAAGTCTGTTTATTAAAAGACTATTGAAGGCTATAAAAGGTAACTTTTGATTTTATATGTTAGTTAATATTTATTTATATCTATCTCAATCTATCTATAGTTTGATCTAATAGTTAAACACTGAAGCAAAATTCTGTCGATTATTTATATGTACAGGTCATTTATATATTCATTAAATAAGCAATTTTTCGAATTGCTGTGAAACTATACATTGTGGACGACCTTCTGAGCAACGCTAAACTGACCTTGAGAGTGTCCACCTAATAACTAGAACCAAATGATGGTTAAAAACCACTATGAGGAATTACAATTATGACTTACAGTTGATGATTAAGGTTAGAAATTAGATTTTGGGTTTTCATCTTGAAGTGACATCAACTATAATGACAAAACTATTTATTCGAATGAATGAGTTAATTTCGCGCCAAAACCCGAGACCTGTTATCTTATATGTGATTGGTTCGTTCGTAAATTATAGTCTCGCCTGTTTATCAAAAATATTTATTATATAGAACTTATATATACAGTTACATCAAGTTCCCAACTCAGTCTATAACCTATGTAGTGGAAGAAGCCAGAGGCTGTGTGAAAAACCATGCTTCCAAAATCTAAATGGTTATGTTTACAAGTAGAGTATATATATATATATATATATATATATATATATATATATATATATATATATATATATATATATATTCATTTCATTTATTTATTGGTTCGATGGTTGACGAATTCTTCATATGGATACAAAATTCTAATGGAATTTGCTAGCTTACACTATCTATGATTCTGATAGAATGTCTGACAGATTACCAAACAGATACTTTACTGCGTAATAGTTTTCCGTGCTTTAGTTTATAACTATGATACCTGGTCTTTGAAAATCGATAACACGTATAAGTTGCTAGTATTCAATAATGTTTTCGAGTCATTTTTCGCGTATAGCGCAACCTTTAAGGCTGAAGTTAAGTGTAAGAAACTGGGTAATGTTGATAAATTTTTTTATAATACTATGAACCTTCATCCACTGAGACATATGATTTGTGTTACACATTCTTAACCATCGTCTACGAGAAGTAATATCTTGGTTAGCATGGAAGTAGGAATTAGGCTAAGGTAGCCAGAGCAAAATATCAAAACAGTCAACAAAAGCAACAGCTGTCGTTCTGATCAGTGTTAATGCGTTCTGAATACTTAGTTGATGGTGTAACTTTACCTGATACTTGTTTGAAATGACCATAATGGATTATATGAATTCATTCCTTTTCTGCATCTCCCTCCATAATTTGAATTTTGATGGTCTTATTCCAAAGCTTTCATTTTTCCAGTTAATTTGTTCTATTAAATCAGCTTATTTATATTTTGTTTCACTAATTTCTTCTGTCGCTATACTGATGAGAAATTATTTTATTATTTATTTGAACACATAAATATTGGTACAAGAGGGCACCAAATATATATGCGCCACACATCATATTCAGCAAATAAAGATCAGTCTGTATTTCAATATATATGAGCATACCTATTCACTGATTCATTTGTTAAGATATTGTAATGAACACGAATACAGATGGGAACAATCGAATGATAGGAACGATGGGAAAGATGGGAACAACAACCTTACCTCAGATCTTATTTTTTTATGACTAACTAACCGACTAGCTATGATGCTAACAAGTTGTTGATTGTATTAATCACAGACAGATTTCAACTAGAAAACTATTGAAAGCCAGAAAGCACTAGACAACTATTTTGTATTAGTATGAGACTGCTCAGTAGTGTACCTGAATAACCCCATTGAGAATAGAATCCAGATTTGGTAATTTTTGCAATAGACACTTGACCATTAGAACCACTAAGTCGGTATAATTCCAATTCTAATCAATGTAATACAGATAGACAATATTTACATTCTGTTGGTAACAACTGGTTCAACATCTGAGCTTCATCAGTCATGACTTCTCATTAAAACTTCAGAAGTATCTTGGATTAAGTTAATAGTAAACTGATTAAATGTCATTTTTATTGTTGCAATGTAAAATATTATTCTTATCATTTCTACATCTTATAGAATCATTGAATCGGTTTATTTTATACATCCTTTGAATATGTATAGTATAGTTATTACCACTTTTCTATGTTACATCATTCCATTCAGTCCTATAAATCTGTACAAGGACAAATCGATTTTTTGCAAATTTTCTCTAATTTCAATTCTACAAAATTATGTAAATTAGTTTTCAATTCGAAACTGCAAATATTAAACAACAGAATATCACATATGTTTAAATTGAATAAATACAAATAGACATAAGCACAACTACACAATGGTGTTCAATATTTTTGCATTAACACTTGTTGATTTTTAAGTGTTTTTGCTTACTCTCTAGCACTCCATCAATCAAATCTCACTTCACTTCAGTCACACACACACACTCCCTATCTCCTTATTTCTATGCATAAGGTTTAACCGTCTGTCATATGTGTA